TTTCATGTTTTTTTTTTTTTGATTCTTATTTTGCTGCTGCTGATCATTATTATTATTTAAGTGATGATTATTCTTATTATGTTTTTTTCGTTGATGATTATTATTATTATTATGCTGGTTATTATTATTATTATGCTGATTATTATTATTATTATTTAAGTGATGATTATTCTTTTTCTGATAACGCTGATTCTTATTATGTTTTTTTTGTTGATGATTATTATTATTATTGTGTTGATTATTATTATTTTTATTATTTAAGTGATGATTATTTTTATTCAGATTATGCTGATTCTTATTATCTTGCTGTCCCGGCAAGCATTGTTTTGCCATATAAATTATTTCTAGTGAATCTATAGTCTAGAAAAAAAATAACTAACTTATTGTAAGTGTTTAAGGATGTGGTAAATTAGTGAAAGAGGCATGGAGCGCTGTGAACGATGAGGGAATATAAAAATAAAAAAAGGCAAACATTATTTTTAAGTTATTATAATTTATTCCTTAAAAATATCAATCTCTTAATGCTATAGCGTGAACAATATTTTTTGTTAGTCCATCTTTAGCTAACACAAACAAACTGGATGGTTTACTCACTCGAGAGCATGCCACGTATAATTGTCCGTGTGAAAAACATGGTGTTCTCAAATCTAAGCCACAAATAGACATCGTTTGACCTTGGGATTTGTTGATTGTCATTGCAAATGCCAATCTAATCGGAAACTGAATACGTTTGAATTGAATTGGCACATCTGTAGGTATAATAGGAATCCGTGGTATTAATATATTTTCACCTCGGAACTTGCCATTTAAAATGCTGGCTTCGATCACGTTTTTCATTAATTTTTGAATGACTAATCGCGTACCGTTGCACAGCCGGGGTGGGTTCAAATTACGAAGCAAGATAATCGCAGATCCAACCTTTAATTGTAAATTATGCGGTGGCATGCCTGGTAAATCCAGTGAGTTCAAAAACTCTGTGGGAAAATTTACTGCTTCGCTGTCGTCGCAAACTGTATCAATAGATTTATATGATACCAAGTTCCCTGGCAACAACATTTGTATCTTCAGATTTAAATTGTCAACGTCTACATTTTTTGCCGCTAAAATTGCTCTTTCTGCAAGCCACTCATGATTTATGTACTGTGTGTGTACATCGGGAAATATTTGTTCAATGAGAGTATCTTGCGAATCAGCGATTGTGCAGAAATCGGTCGGTAATTTTACGTATCCAGTTTCATCTATAGCAACTTTTCCATCACCGATATCTAAGAGTTGTTTTGAAAATGTTTCAGCGGATGGATCTTGAAGCATTTGAACGCGCATATTTACTTTCAGCTGTACTTTTTCAACATTACGCCACAATGGAGATGATTTTAAGCAAGCGTTGATCTCATCAGCNCAGGCGGATTGTGGATCTTTATGAAGGATATGACATTTTTAAACTTATATCAAATACTTATAATCTATTTGTATAGGTAAATTACGTGCTTGAACAATTTATTAAAAATGTTATGTCTAGCGTCTAATCGCGGGGTGTTCAAAATAACAAAATTAGTGTCCAAACGTTTTTAATATTCAGGTAAAAATTCAATGTAATGCCAAATACTTTTTGCTCATATGACATTAGCTAATATTTTAGTTATAACTATAATAGGAAAATTTATTTTTTAGCTATTTCAAGGAATAAAATATGCAGGAAAGTATTATTTAATTAAAATATTGTAATTCTATTTTAATAACGTTTGTTTTACAATCTGTACCAATATATTATACGAGTACGGTCTAAAAACTAAATCTAATTTGTTATGCTATTATAGTACGTATGTATACTATATTAGAATATAATACAAACGTCAATATACATATTTTATAGATCGACCTAGAGAATTTTTTAGGTGTGGCCAAGTATATTATTATAATAATAAACAATTGTTTTAACATTCTTGCGTATATATGCACGGTAATGGTTTTTTTTTTTGGTTTTTTGTTCTTGCAATATTTGACGAAAACGGTAAGTCATAATATTAATCCAACCAAATTTGGTTTGGTTTAGGAAACTATTTGTAGGTGCGTTACTTAAGCACTTAAAATCGACTCCCAAGGGCTTGAAAAATATTTAATAAAGTAAAAACGCGTAAATATTTTTTTTTTTTTCAAACCGAATTTAACAATAACAAAAAACATAATTCCTTTCAAACGTCCTGAACCCGTTGTAACACGACATAAATGTCCATAGCTGTCCGCTCGACTGACCTGTGCATATGATATTAGGGATGTGACTTTTTTACGCGAGTACGCACTTTAATCAATCACCTAGTACGTGTACGCGAATATCGTGAACACGTAACGTTTAACAAAACGTTGCGTATATCAACAGCGTCAAAATCCTGCCGGGGGTCCGGTCGTCGCCCCGCGCTTACACGGTAAACTATAATTCCGATCCCGTAACGGCGTGCACGAAATTAGCGATTCTTGCGCGGGTCAGGTCGGGTTTGGGTATTATAATTGTCGTTGCCCGGCCCTCGCACAGTGACGTGACCGGGAATTTCGTACGGGGACGTGATAAGTTTCACGAAAAATAAAAAAAAAAAATTATCTCATCACTTTTGTAAAACCACGTTATTAATCAGATAACGCGATCCAATTATATTTACAAACATAATTATAATTACATAGTATTATATTTATTGTTTTTATTATTTAAATATAGTCTGAAGATATTTGTTGATTAGCATATGTAGTAAACATGTTCAAATTGTTGAAGTAGTTATTTGCATTTATCAATTATGGAATGCAGTGTAATAAGCAATTAACTTGTAACTAAAACACTTTCCAATATCCATACAGGTATACCTCCAAAGCACAACCGTAAATAATCAGTCTTTTTACCTTCCCAAAAATCCTTCTCAAAAGAATTTATCCAATTATAACGGCAAAATATTTAAATAACAAACAGAAAATCCAATTTTCAACTAGTCATCGTATTGTTACACTCATAAAAAAATAAAAGATCTAAAATTTTAAAATTTTAAATCTATGTATGATAAATCTAATTTAATATCTGTAGATTTTCACACTAAGTCAATGGTTAGACTAGACCCGGCATGATTCTTGTGGCATTAGCCGATTATTTTTTGGACAGCACCTGCCGAATTATTCGATCGTTTATCGGGGACGAAATTCGGTCGACAGAAATGGTCAGATTACATCCGAATTTCGGTTGCATTCATCAAAATTAAAGAGAGTTTGTTTGTTTTTTGATGTAATTTCGGCACGTAGACAAACATCGGCAAAGCTACGGCCACACAGAAAGCTACGCTACGTAAGCTGCATATGCTCTGTGGTGGGTTTGAAAAAACTTATATGAGAATATGAGATTATAGCATTTTACAGAATGACTAAAAAGTTCACTACCCGTTATGTAAATCCATTATACAATTAAAATGTCCTGACATAAATAGAGTTAACAATACGAAATACTGAAACATTACATTCGACCCGCATTTGCGTTGGAAAAATTATATTTCAGAACTAAATTAAACATTTTTTTAAATTATACGCTTTCTAGAACATTAATTATGGCCCTCAATTATTTAAATATACACCGGTTAAAAAGTACATACATTGCCGTATCGCAATCAATAATCGAATATGGTATAGTAGTATTAAGAGAATCTGCACATAAATATATTTCAAATCCTTCACAAACAGTATCTAGATACACAACCCCAAATGTTGTGTCTATATGATTTTAAATAAAATAATTTTGGTTACTAACTATAACAAT